CGAGTTAGAATATAGTTTTAGGGGTAGAAAACGTTAGATAGATTTAGAAACATAGTCTAGAGACAATGTATGTATTGTTTGTTGGCTGAAACAGACGATCAGGGCTTTAAAAAATCAATTTTCATGGGTAGGGGACGCCATTGTCGTGGTTGTAGGAGTTGCAAAAAATTCTGGAGCTTTATATACAAAATAAATTAACGTTAGGGTAATTTTGTAGATGCAACTTCGAAATAAATCAGACGTTGTGAATTCTAGGTACTTTCGTAGATACATCTACAGAAGGTTTCCGTGTGTACATATCCGAAAGTAAAAAAATATTATTTTTTTTCTTTTTTGTTTTTTTAATTTATTTGTGTCTAGTTGTTTTTTTTGTTATACCATGCAAACATTATGGTAGACATAAACGATAGATTGCGACTTGGACGAGTTTCACAACATGCATCTGTCAGACGCGAGCGGAGTTAGGCCACCGTCACCGAGGCCGATACAGCTGAGGCACAACATAATGTACATCCTTCTTCATCACATACCCAATACACTTCCTCGACTTCGTATCCCACCTCATCATCTACTTATTCATCCCAGAGGCGTCAGGATACAACTGAAGGTTCATCACAGGCCCCGTCCTACCGCAGACCTCGTCAGAATACTCATGTTCCTCCTCTTGTCGATGATGTTTATCCTGTGCCACCTCAAAAGGGTGATGACCCACCACCGGAGGATGCTGGTGACAACGACGACGATGAGCTTGAGGGTTTCCCATGGGGGTCCCTCTAATATGTCCCTGTTGACAGGGTACGACGACCATACTGCCAGACATATTTGGGATGGAGAGGTAACATTATTGAGATTGTTTCTTTTTTTTTTTCATTAGAAATTTATAATTTGTACAATTGTTTCTTATTAATATTTTTTCTTATTTATAGAAGTTTTCAGACTCGTCCTCCACAGAAGTTCTATAACCATGGGTGGAAGATATTGTCTCTGGATCAACCACAAGAGGCTTTGTTCCAGGACGTCCCTGCCGCCTTTTGTTTGAAGGACCTTTGTGAGATCGATTACGACCTGATCCATAACGAGATGCTGATGGGCTATGTGGAGCGATGACACCCTAAGACGTCCTCTTCCCATCTACCACACAACGAGATCATAAATACATTGGATGATATCTCTTGTCTGTTACATATACCTACAAGGGGTACCCTCATCCATCACAGTAGGATGATGAAGAAGGATGCAAGAGAGATGTTAGTGGATGAGTTTGAGGCTGATCCACTGGATGCGTTTGAGGATGTGGATAAGACCAGAGGGACTCATGTGAGGTTCTCCTTTTAGACTCGTTGTTTTGGTGAGGCATTCGCTACTGCACGCCAGGCAGAGGGTGATTCAGCTGAGGTTGAGATACACAGGTAGCGTGTGCTGTAGTGTTATTTTCTATTTTTAGTCGGCACTCAACTATTTGTAGACACGAGCTCCACATATACCGATGTCGCTTACCTCAGGTTCTTTTTGGATTTCACACGAATCCATGAGTACAACTAGGGGGAGGCTACACTGGCGTACACATATTCGAGGTTGGGAGAGGGATGCTTGTAGAATACCAAGACTGTGGCAGGTAGCGTGTCACTACTTGTGGTAACAATCTTATATCCTTCAGTTTTTTTCATTTCTTTTCATTCTATATTCGTGATAATGCTTAACCATGATGTTTTTTATTTTCATTTTAGGCTTGGATATTCCAACACTTTTTCATGATCGTCGGGTGGGGGAGTGTGTCTGATTACACATAGCCGATGTTGCACACCCGTGCCTTTCTCCCGCTCAGGAGGAACCAGGCGGTCGACCTTTACAAAGTTTATCTCGATCGCCTGACTGCTGAGGACATCCGCTACAACATCTATCATGATCACCGTGTGACGCGCCCATTTGATGACATCTCCCTATTCTCAGGATGGCTGGCATGCAGTTCAACCATCATTGTTCCATATTTTCCCGAGCGCGTCATGCAGCAGTTCGGTTACACTCAAATCATTCCCAAACACCCAACTATTTTTCGCTCATATCGGCTTAAGCCGTATGCAGATAGAGGAGATATATGTTGACTACCAAAGACACATGGTACCTGACGAGGCTCGAGCGACTAAAGCACCGAGAAACTGGAGTTGAATTAATGGTTACATCACATGCTTATTCACCGTCTCACACCTCTACATGGTGCTCACTGTCGAAGGATCACCGTCTAGACTAGCTCATCAGGAGATTTTAGAGGAGCAACAATCTTAGTTGGACCACACTCATGATGTCCTGCCTCGCTGTCGTCAGATAGTGTAGCTGTGGCGGACAAACATTGACGTCGATTTCTTCTCCGAGGGGTCTGACCACAGACGTCTATTGGATGAGATGATTGTGGTGGCACATGGGGCACTTATGTACCGCAGACATCCCGCCAGGACGGGTGAGATCGATGACCGACGACACAGACCAAACAATCAATGAGACGGTAGAGGCAGAGGAGGCGGCAGATGCATAGGTAGAGAAGATGATAGAGATGTTGTCATGCACACACAATAGTGACTGTGGTGTTTTTTTATGCACTATATTTTTATGACATTGATGTACTATTTTTTGATGATGTTTATTACATATTTTTTAATTACGGATGTACGTTATTTTATATTCATCTGCAACAATCAATTTCCATATGCGGCCAACAAAACTGAATTAAAAAAAAAACTTGTTCTGATAAGATTTCAGAAATGCATCTCTGAAATTTTTTTCGTAGATGCATCTCCAAAAACATTCAACGTAAAAAAGAAAAGAATGCGTTGAGAGATACAATTCCGAAAACACGCTGAGGGTATAAAAAAATGCATTAGATGATTAAGAATATTAAAGAGTGTATTAAGAAATTCTATTTTTTATTTAATATTTGGTTAAATTTTAACATGGTATTTTGGGTATAAGTACAATTGTGAGGTATTGGTTTACTTTTGAGATAGCAGAAAAAAGGAAATTTTACCCCATACCCCTACAATTATACTCATACCCCTACATTACATTTTTTTGGACCAAAATACCCTCGTATAAAAAGTTATAATTTTTTTTTACCGGAAGACTTTTGGTTCACATTTTTTTTCGTTTGTTTACCGGAAGACTTTTTGGAAGTCTTCCGGTTCATGTTTTTTTCGTTTTCCGGTTCATATTTTTTTTGGACTTTTTGAAAGTCTTCCGGTTCATGTTTTTTTTTTTTTAATTTTTTTTAATATTCAAATTACAAATATATTTATTCTATTTACTTTATTTATTCTATTTACTCTATTTTAGTTAATTAATATATTTATTCTATTTACTCTATTTATTCTGTAATTTGTTATATTTATTCTATTCTATTTATTTAATAATAATTATTTTATTAATTTGATTTTTTTTATTAATTTACTATATTTATTTACTTAATAATAATTATTCTACTAATTTGGTATTGTTTTTTTTAATCAATAAAAATAAAAGTTGTTAATTAATTTATATATTGATTGTGTTCTTTAAAAAAAGAAAAATAAAAAATAAAAGTTGTTAATTAATTTTATATGTCACAATTAATAGTTCAAATCATGTGTTTCAAATGTATTTTAGCCTTCATAAATTTATCATTGAAGTAACACATTTTTTCTTCAGACATATCACATGATTTTGTCCTTTTAATAAATAAAATATATTGAGTATTTCTATGACAAGGTAAAATAAAGAAATATTTCTTTTGAAAAACTTATAACAACAAAAATATAAGAAGTAATATTTAATAACTTAAATTTTAAAAATATTAAAAGAATATATATATAAAATTAAATAAATAAAATAAATGGGTCTTCTAATTAAATTTATAAATACAATACAGAAATATTTTTTCCTAACTTATATTCATAACTTTGAAATTCCCATCATCCTTCATTTATCTTATATCAAGTTATGCCTTTTCTTTTTAGTTTTTAATTTTCAATCTCTTTATTGACACCTACATTAAAAAAATTATTCAAATAAGGGAAAATATAGATATGACTTACAAAATTATTTAATAAAAGTTGTTAACTAATTTATATATTGATAAGAGAAAATAATTTAGTTAATAAAATTAGTATTGTTATCAACTTAGTTGAGAAAATTAGTATTGTTTTATTTTTCTTTCTTTTACTAGTTAAATTTTTTTTCTTTAAAAAACATAATCAATATATAAATTAGTTAACAATTTTTATTTTTATTAATTAAAAAAAACAATCCTAAATTAATGGAGTAATTATTATTAAGTAAATAAATATAGTAAATTAATAAAAAATCAAATTAATAAAATAATTATTATTAAATAAATAAATAGAATAAATATAACAAATTCATAATAAATAGAGTAAATAGAATAAATATATTAATTAACTAAAATAAAGTAAATAAATAAATATATTTGTAATTTAAATATTAAAAAAAAAAAAAAAAAAAAAAACATGAACCGGAAAACTTTCAAAAAGTCTTCCGGTAAACAAACTAAAAAAAATATGAACAACATGAACCGGAAGACTTCCAAAAAGTCTTCCGATATAACTTTTTATACGAGGGTATTTTGGTCCAAAAATTTTTAGGGTAGGGGTATGAATATAATTGTACGAGATAAAATTTCCCAGAAAAAATTCTCAAACTCCATAGGTTAAAGCCCAAATAGTGTTTTAACAGTCGACACATTAAGGTCCAACATAAAACCCGAAGCCATATCTCAAATTAGGTTTCGATACCGTTTCTCTTTTTTATTTGAAGTTTGGCATCGACAGCTCCCTTCTACCTCCGCAAATTACGTCCTCCGCCGCTGCAGCCACCGTTTCAGTCCTCCTCAGCAAAAACCGAAGCTCCAAATTCTTCTCAACTATTCTGACACTCCAAATTCTTCTCAACTATTCTGACACATTACTCAAGTTCACAGTATCTTGTAAACGAACCTTTATTCTCCAGGACATAAAATGGGGAAAAGAGGAGGGAAAAACTACCAGAAGAAAGACGTAACAAACGCTACAACAAGTTCCCGACGCAACCTTCATGTGTTTTCTACTCAAGATATGGACGATGAGATTGATGCTTGTAACCGTTTTTTCTTCTGCTGATTGAAAAATTGATTATAAGTCATTTTTCTAGTTATGATTTAATAGTATCTGTTTTACATGATTATTATGGATTTGGCTTGAGTTGATGATCTTTATCTGCAGTTCATAAGCAGAGGGATATTGTTCCACTTGACATAAATGCTGATTCTGAATCTGATGAAGATGATGAAATACCTATTTTTGACTCTAAGGTTTTGATTTTGCAGTAAACTATTTTTTTTGTTGAAGTTATTAGTATATTGCTAAACCTGATAGATGGTACTTCTGAGATTTTATGTTCTACTTGTTTACTTAATAAGTAGAAACATGGCTGTTCATAATCTTTTTGTTTGTTTGTTTGTTTATATTTCTCATTTTTTTTATCCTTTCAAATGTTGGTTTAAGGATATTGATAATGATGATAGTGATGATGATGAGGAGGAGGAGGAAGATGATGAGGACGATGATGATGATGTGGAGGATGAATATGACGGTAATGACAAAGGCTATATTGCAAAATGTAAGTTATTAATCTAGCCCTGGTAGTGTTTGGTTTGTTGAAAATTGAAATTCTTGGTTACCAAGTTTATATATGTATAGTTTGGGTTTAGGAAAATAGTTCTTGATTTCTTTTCTTACTTTTGAAAGTTTTAAAAGTCGAACTTATTTGAAAGGTGTGATTATGATAAACATGTGTTTGTTTTGCTTAGTAATTAGGCAAAAGAAATATTTAGAGTCAAAGCATGGTGGAGATGAAGACGGAATGCAAGATGATGATGAAGATGAGGGGGATATTAAAACAATTACCGGTGGTAGAAAGTACTCACATGGCGCTGAGAATCGTAATTTTGAGGTGAGGATTTGAGCATAGCATTTGAAAAGGATTTTGCCATGTGTAGTATCTAAAACATTGATGCATGTATGTAGTTCTTTTGGGTAGATAAAGTGAATGGTTAATTTCCCATACTATTTGTTTTTTCTCTTGAATAATTGTAACTTGTTGGTTTCAGCTACAAGCAAGTGATGATGAGGCCCCAAAAGAAGAGGAAAAAATTGCAACTGACATGCAAAGGGAGAAAGCAAAAGGCTTAACGATGGAAGACTTTGGCCTTTGGGACATCGATAATGACAACTTAACTTCTAAGGTGAGTTCTGCTTAATATCTCAATGGTATGTTGCATAGTCGATTTCTACATGAATGGATGAAAACATGTGCTCACTGGGTGTAGAATCTGTCAACAAACATTTTGTAAACTTTTATATCTCTATAGGATGCGACAGATAAAGGAAACAGAGTGATAAAACCACTGGATAGAGATGGAACTTTCAAGGCTGAGGATCTGAATGCTTTATCAAAGGAGGAGCAAATGAACGTCCTGCATAGGTTAGAATATTGTCCTTATCTTGCCATTAATATTATTGATTACATTTTATCATGTTCTCATTTTGTGCACTGTACCCTACGCTAATAAACCTGATACCGACATTACATCCATAGTTGTGAATTACCTTTTGATGAAAAAAACTGATTTCAAGAATACTCATGTATTAGATTGCCGATTTGAAACTAAATAAATGGAAGAAAAATACCTAAATCATCTTGGTGCTTAAAGGATTTAAAAGAGAAAATAACAATAATTTGGTGTTCGTGATGCTCTATTAGAAAACTGATTAATTAAAGGTAGACTAGTTAAGATCATCTTCTGAAACCATTGGTGAATAGAGAAACATACCTATATGCTCAAGATATTAAAAACATCAACATAAAATCATGTGAACCCCATACTGAAAAGACGATTAGAAATTTCCTACCAAAATTGATTGAAATAGAAAGAAAAAAAAATGAAACGGAATCTGTCTTGCTATTAGAGGAAAAGGCCTAATTGGTAAACATTGATAAAAAGGAAAGCTTGAGCAACTCAGTAGAAATCTAAGCTGTTGCCTTGCTGATTTCACATGTAACAGCTTTAACATAGGTACTTTTCAAAGTATAGTGTAAAGCTGCATTCAGCATTTATAAGAGCACTTTTCATCGTAATAGCATTAACATAGGTACTTTTCAAAGCATAACATTTTATTCTAGCGCAATATTCAGCAGAAATCTGGATGAATGTCTATCCTAAGGGAAGCTGTTGAATCCTAACAAAAATTGGATTACACCCCTTTATTGCTCTTATTGGCCTATCTCGTGTTGATAGTCTGACTGCCATATGATAGACTTCCCTGTTTTTTCTTGAATTGGTGACTATCTTATCTTCTCTTTGCAGGTCTGCTCCGGAATTAGTTGATTGGTTGTCAGAATTGAATGAGGCACACACAGAGCTTGAATGCAAAATCAACCCATTTTTAAGCAAGGTTTTTCATTCTCCTGTGTTCTTTTTTTTACATGCCCATTTTCTTTACTAGTAGTTAACAAAACCATGTGAAGAAGCTGACTTGTATTTATATCAAATAGTCACAGTCTACAATAATTTAAGATTAGTAATGATGGTAAATTCATGCAACCTATTGAAAGCATGGCAATATGAATGTCTTGAATGGAATGTTGCCGGAAAATGGCTGAGGTCTGTGGACTTCAGAAGAGCAGAATCAGTCAATTGATATATTTATCAAATTATATATCAAGAGAGGCTTAATTGTGATTATCTTGGTTATTTCTTCCTTTCACCTTGTGTTTCTTTAGGCCTTAGGTACTATTTGTTTTATTCTTTCTACTGAAACATTGGACACCCTGTGGAATTATACTACTGTTATAAATTATAATTGTATTCCCACTGTTTTTAAGTGTATCCGTCACTTGATCTTTCCTATTTTATGATCTTACTTTGAAAATAAAATCTTACGGTCCATACTTTTCGTGGATAGACACTAGTTTTCCTTTTCTTTGTACGCGTATATGTATTTCCCCTTAGATGTACTTGAAGTCCATATTGCATTACAATTTAATTCATATCTTCTGAAGGTTAAAAAGGGGGAAACAGTATTGGAAGGAGTAGTGCGTTATTTTGAGTTGAAACAGCCTCTCATGTTGTCCTATTGCCAAGCTATAACCTTCTACCTTCTACTCAAGTCTGAAGGGCAACCAGTAGATGATCATCCTGTAATAGCTCGCCTTGAAGAGATCAAGGAATTAATAAATCAGGTATTTCATTTTTAAACTAGCTCACATCTGTGACTGTAGTTATTTACTTGTCACATGAGCAATGTTGTTAAATAATGGATAGCGACGTAATGTTGAGCGAAATTTGAACCAATTGCTATTGTTCTGTACAATATGCCATTTAAGACAACATTGTCAAACAGTCGCTATTGCGGCACTATAATCAATGTTTTAGAAATTGGACTGGCCGTCGACCTGGTCAGAGAGCACAGGGACAATGGTAATATGTAAAGGTTACTTATTGAACCGTATGATCTCTCTAATGTAAAAATTGCATAATTATCTGTATATAAATTACACAATTGGTTCACAAATTATCAGATCTGAGATGTACTTAATTATTTTTAGATTTTGCAAATTTCTAATCATGCCTCACTCAACAGATTAAACAACTTGATACAGAACTTCCAGTTGAACTTGAGGACATTCTTAAAGGAAGTAGCGGATTAGATCATGAGAATGTTCCAATGCCAGCAGATTCTATCACCATACACCAAGAACAGCCTCTGGTCGCTGCTGTATCACAAGAAGAAGCAGTGGTAGTGATCAATTCTTAATCTTGGCTTATATTGTTGTCTTATTTATAATCTTAAAAAGTGACAAGTCCTTAACAGTTGATTTTTTTATGCATTGCTGCAGCCTAGCAATTTAGTTGAGAAGAAAAAATCGGATGTCTCAAAGGATGGTGTACAAAAAGGAAGAAAAGTAAAAGATCAGGTGAATTATAGATTTCAAAATATGTTTGAACTTTGATTTGGTTTATTGCTATACAAGGTTAATAATTTAACTATTGCACCTTAACATGGTAGAAGGATTACATTGGCGCCCAGAGTTTGGAAATGTTAAAAGTTAGAGCTTCCCTTGAGGAAAAATTGAGACAAAAGGGTTTGTATAATCAAACTACTCCAAAGCCAACTAATTCTCTAAAGCGATCAAGACCAGCTAATGGGTATATCTTCACTCTCATCTCTTTCCTTACCTGTTTCCAACATCTGTGAACTTACTGGCAATTTACAAATTTCACAGCCAACTTGCAACATATGATGATTTTGATGATGATGCTGTCAATGTTAATGGGACAGCAGGACTGTCTAATGGTCTTGTCTCCAGTAAAGTTTCACCGTTTGTTAATGCTAATCTGAAGAAACTCAAGGTACTAAAATTGAGATTTTATAGACGGATTCTGATTTCTATTTTCATTTGCAATTCATCACGCTCCCTCTTTGCACTCAGGGCTCTATGCCTCCATCTTTTTCACTTCCTAACATTCCTTTTACAAATTTCTCCTTAACAACAAATTATTTTCCAAACTTAAATTTGCACCATAGAGTAACTAATAGGAATTTCAAAACTAACTGCAAATTTTTGTCAAACCTTTTTATGTAAAATTTTTCCCTTTATAACACAATAATTCTTTTTCAAAGTTAAATAATACAACTTAGAAGATTGAAACTAAAATTTAGATAAGCTCAGATTGCATAGATATTATGAAATTGATTGAAGCAAATTAAATTAAAACGGATGTTACACAATAAAATACGTATAGACCCTAACACAATAGAAAAGCAGACAGACAGACATTTAATGTCTGTCATTCCACTAGTATAATGCTTCCACAAACTGAGGCTGACCACTGAACTATTTTGCCCAGACTATTGCTAAAATTTATTTAGTTTGGCCATATAAAACACATGCAATCTGCACTCAATGCTATTCTTTCGGCAGTTTTTATTCTTTATATTAGCCTGTTCTTTGAAACATCTGTCTGATCCCTTTTTTGTGATAAGGTGGCTTCTGGTGATGATGATTTGCCCAGGAGAGATGATAGTCATAATCGCCGGTGGGAACATGAGGAGCGGGTGTTGACTGGTGCTGGAGTTAAGACTGAGGATGACAACGGTGATGCTGATGATGATCAAATGACCGATCTTGGATCTCATAAACTTGATGATAAAAAGGTCACTGAAAGCAGGGGTGACCCAGAAAATGATGTTTATAAACAAGCAGAAAATTTGCTAGCTGCAAAACGTGCTGCAAAAGCAGCAGCCCGTTTAAGGTGAAGTTTTGGAGTCCATTTGCCTGGGCTACTTTATCTCTGGTCTTCAAAAGGTCTATTTTGTTTTTGATAAGCAATATGAAATTAAGATTGTTTGCTGTTGCAGGAAACCAGCTGTCCCCTCTTTGCCAGAGGAGACTGTGGACGGAAAGCGCTATATCACTTCTCAGGTTCTTACTCGATCTGAGGTTTTCACTCTAATTGTTTACATGTTTCTGCCAATTTGCAAGTCTCAACTTGTTCACTAATGTGCTGTAGATGGCGAAGAATAGAGGACTAACTCGAAGTCGCAACAAGAATAAAAAGAATCCTAGAAAGAATTACAAGGTAATTCCCACTTCCTCTCTGGTTAAACAGACTCTTCAACTTTAAATGTTCAACTGTTGCTTTTTCTTTCCTATTTTACAATCTCTTGCTAACTCAATGTGCAGCTCAAGCATCAAAAAGCTCTTAAGAATCGGCAAGGACAGGTTCAGAGTTTCAGAACGCAAACTGCACCTTATGGCGGGGAAGCCTCTGGAATTAATCCAACTATCAGTCGAAGTGTCAGATTCAAGAGCTGATTTTGTCAATATACATTAGAATATCATTCATCTTTTCCACCAATTTTGAATCATATTAGCCGAGTCTGTTGGAGTATAACTTGTATACTTATTTATTAGAAACTGAGCATCTTTGGCATATTAAATTTTGTCGTCAATTTTGATCCAAGTATTTCAGTGTTATGTTTATTTTCAAATTTTTGAATGACAACAATGGAGCTCAAGGCATGAGATTCAACCCGAGAAAATGAATTATTTCCATTCAAAAACTAGTGTGTGATATTACATTGCTAATTAAATAAAAAATTTAATTCTATTTGTGCATCTTGTTATAAACTAAATCACTTTCATTCTGGTTTTCTTAATATGTGGACTCCATTTGTGATTCTTACCAAAAGATTTATGTCAGAACAACACAATTGTAATTCACATAGAAATCAATTTTAATCGGGATGTAAATAGTTCAGAAATGCAACACACTTATAATTTTGCATCTTATTTCATTTTTATCTTATATCAAAAAGTTAATTAAACTTCCTTTTTTGTGTCACATTATCTTATTAAGTTTTAATAGACCCATTAGTGCACTACACACATCAACTAACAAGTATCGGAGTTAATCAATGCAACACACATTGTAACTTTGATCTGAATTTGAGTGGCCAATTGTTTGAAAGTCTTGAAGGGTGTATGTAATAATATACTTTGGAGGTGCTAGACTGGTGTATTTGTTTTCCCGATGATACTACTTTGAGAATTTAACATGCCTAGTTTATATCTCCCACGCCACACATCTTTGCAACATAAAAACCATTTTTCACATATTTAACAAAATTTGTTTGACTATACCGAAAATTTTGTTACTCATACCTACAATTTTATCAAAATAAGAATTTACCAAAAATGTTAAAATATACGTTTTTATGAGAAATTTCAAAATTTCTAATAAATTTTTTGTATTTTTACTAATAAAAATTTTGTATTTTTACTGTGAATTTTGAAAATGCTAGTATAAATGTGAATTTTTACCATATATTTCAACTTTGCCGGTATTTACTCATAGACTTCTACCGAGAATTTTGAAATTGTATGTAGTTCAACTTTTAATATAGTACTGGAAATTGTCGTAAATAGTGGTTGAACATCGGAAATTGTAAAATTGCCGGTAATTAATTGATTTTGAAATTTTTTTCCATTTAATCTATTTTTTGTGAAATTGCAACTGTTTATAGAGATAACTCTCTTCAAATTTGTATAGGTAAAACCAATTTTACTCTTCAGTTTTGAATGTTTATTTAAATGACAACAATTAACAATATTTATTTAGGTAGTCTTCCACCATATTATTTTACTTATGTACGAGAAAGTTGAGATTATTTTTGACAGAAATTTGCATATACAGATTGATTGATGATGCAATTTAATCTGATTCAGTTTTCCAAGCTCTTCATTTTCATGTTTAAGATGTTCATGAAACTATCTAATCATTTATCAAATTTGTAAAAATGTTCTCAAAAAAACTTAGCAAGCAAACATAGACAGTTTACACATTGAATATAACAGTATCATGCATAAAACACACTTAAAATCATTTCAAAATCTGATCAACCCAAAACCGCCTAAAGTTTGCTGCTGTGCCGAGACGTGATGATACGAATAATCTAAGAAACTTAAACTGAACCTCAAATTTTCAAGCATTGTATAGCAGTAATAGAGGAGGTGCATAGAATGAGCCAGGGAGAATTGTGATGCAATTAAGAACTGGCATCTGCTGCAGCCTTTTTCTCCTTCTGTTTCTCCCTCTTTTTCTTGTTTTTTAAAGCATTCTTGCTCAGTGTTCTGAAATAATCAACCATTAGCAGTTAAAAACAGAATATAAATCATGAGAAACTTCAAACTAAGAGAGGGAGGAATAAGCACTTACTCTGTCGAGCTCTCTCCTAACAACTGCAAATACAAATCATTTTGGCATTTATTAGAACATTAATTAAAATGCAAATTCATTCAAGAATTCAAGAGAAGAAGCACTTCATACCTAAATACAAGGTCCATGCAAATGCATAGCTTATATTTATATTTATATTTATATTGATAATTTAAATACAATTTTGTCTGCTCTGCAGTCATTTAAGTTTAACTAAAAGTGTAAATTAGCATAACTTATAACGGTGCAAAAAAAAATTAACATAAAGGACCAAATCCAAAAATTTTAAAAAGTTAAACTTAAAGGACTGCAGATGTAATTTGCCTAATCTAAAATAGAAACAATTACAGTTTTCATCTTTTCGGTGAATGTGTACCTCTGCCTTAATAGAAGCTGCAATCTTAGCATGTGGTGGACGATATGCGGCAGGTTTTTGTGCAGTAGGATTGGCAGAAGAGACTTTTACAGATGCCTGGGCTGGTTTTGGTCCTTGACCTGTAAAAATTTCATGGCTTCAAACCTCAGAACAGATGATAAAACTCATTACAAAATAAAATATTAGAATAAGCATGGCAAATAACCTGATGGTTTTTTATCTTCAAGTTTGATTGAGTCCAATGACTTGATTAATTCAGTGATATCACCAAACTTATTTGGTGACTCTGGTTTCCAATCAGCCTGGAAATAGTTTGCACACAATTCAATGAAATCTGTGAAAAGGATATACAAAAACCATAATCAGCGAGACTTCAAGATACTACTGACCTGGTACAATTTGTCAAACATCTTCTTGAAGTACAATGACCCATTATAGTGAAAAATCTTGATCCTTCAATAGAAAAAGAAAAAAATAAAATGAAAATTGTTTTCTTAGTGAAATAAAAAGTCGATCGTCAGCAAGGAGGAAACCAACATATGACAATCAGCAAAATATTTTCCCATTGAGTGTTTTTCTGATTCATCATTCATCTCATACGTGTCATCAAATTAATTGCTTTTATTCATAAATCTATTGATCAATGGAACAAAACAAAAGCAGCCTTCTGGATAACATCTTATACTAACAACATAATCGAGTGGACATGGGTAAACAATTGGATATTTAAAGGCAATGAGGAGGTCAAGGCCCCACTAATGGACAAACATACCCATTGTCAACTTGAAGCCTTGGAGCTGTTGTCGCTGTCATGAAATAGCACCCATCCGGAGACCATTCACTTGTCACAGACCATTCAGCCTTGGTTGCTGCAAGCTGTTTCTTTTCTACGTAATCCCAAAATACCTAGAACAACAGAATGAAAAATATAGGAATTCCTCATAAGAAGCATGTGTTTGCAACCGTGCATGCATTTGAGACGTGTCATGTGAAAATATAGTAGAGTTTGCCAGTAAAATAAAACTTCAATTGTTATTTTATTCTTCCAAAACTTTTTTTGATGTTCAAAATGATTATATTAAACCTACAACTCCTAGATGTAAGAATCATATTGACCTTAAGTCAAAGGACTTCTCACTATGGTTACCATAAAAACTGTTCTTGTCACTCACAGAACGATTATACAATATTCTAGTAATGGGTCAATCTAGTAAACATGTAACTCTTAACTTTTATACCCATGCGCTGACTTGATGTTGTTTACCTGTGTAACCCTATATCTATATCGTCGATATCATGTATCCTTGATATCGTATATCTATGATTCGTGAGATGTGACCATCAGTTTGCTCATTCAATAGTCTTAACATATTATTATCATCTTCACTAACATTAGTCCTCCAAACATTAAAAAAGGCAAAAAAATGTCAAATACAACAATAAAAACCAAACCTTATCTCACTAAGTGGGATCGGCTACATGGATCAATTTCTGCCATAACGCTCTATCCAGAACCATGTCTCTATCCAAATCGATAATTTCGAGATCTTTCTTAATAACTTCTCTTATAATTTTTCTAGGTCTTCCTCTACCTCTAGTTGTTTGACCCTTCTCCATTTAATCTACTCTCCTTACCATAGAATCTAGAGGTCCTCTCTCTACATGCCCAAACCACCAAAATCTATTTTCCACCATCTTTTCTACGACATGTGCTACCCCAATACTCTAAAAAAATGTCAAATAGCACATGCAATTAATGCTTAAAAAAATAAAATAAGAAAGAGAAAAGAGATGCACCCTGTATCAACTACCAATAACCAAAAGCAAGTAAAGGCATAAAAAATGAAACATATTTAGGTAATACTATTGCGCATCTAAAAAGATTGAAAATCATTATTTTATTTTCTATCGAGGTTAATTATAACTAGTAGTCCTAGTTTAGCCAATCAAACACAAATTCCTTTCCATCAAAAAGGAAACATTAAAGAAAGCATAATTAATTAATCAGTCAGGAGCGCATACCATATCGCCAGGCAAGTTACCGAAGCCAGCCAAACATAAAACTGCAAACAGTCAAGGGCACAGAATACAATGATATTTTTACTTTTACCTAGGTGTAGATACTTTATATATCAAAAGAATAATGAACCTTTTCACAGAGTTCCAATCCCTGCCCAAAACCCTCAAGGGCACTTCTTATAGATTTAAAAGAGAAAGAAAGAAGACTCATGGGTTAAGCATCTAATTTTTTTTTGATAAATACAATGAATGCCAAATCATCAGCTGAGGATACATTTCCCTTTCGGGTTCCATCGAATAGTGTTGTACGGACCAGTTCCAAGCTCCAGTAAAGGATTGCAGTTCTTGTCAAACAGAGTTGCTTTAGCAGGCATAACTAAAGCTTGTTAAGGAAAAAAAATTCAACAAACAAAAAAAATGGATTAAAGGAGTGCAGAAACAGAATAACTAACATGATAACATCTGACATCTTAAAACTGTAAAATTTACTATTGATGAAAAACTATTACGGGAATATCACATAGAAAAGGATACACCCATACACAACAGCAAACTCTAAGCCTGAATATGACCACTGAGCTTCATGAACAGGCCCCTCTTTCCCTGCCAAATATTTAAAAACAAAAAATTTGTTAGCCTCCTTGTGGATTTTCTAGAGCAAATCATCAGTTCTTTAAATAGCAATAAGAACTTACGAAGAGGCACTAATCCTTCATACTTCCCATCTGTTGTTATGTAGTATAACTTCGATTCTCCATAGTAACTCTGATTGGTTTTATCAACATCTGACTGTGCCACAGCTAGAAGTCCAGTTGAACCATGATTCCATTTAAACTGGGTAGTAGAACATCGGAAAAAACTCCGTCGAGCCACAGGCTGACTTTGGGAAGCATTTCCACAAGCATATATCTGTACACTAGCAGGAACCCCCTACAAAGGTTCATGAAACTTAACATATTAGAAACCTAAATAACAGAGCCAAAAAGCAATAATATCAATTCCTCATTCATTTGATCACAAAAAGTTAGCTAAGCCGGCATGATTAAGCACTACGTTGAAGGACAAAAACCTTGGATTCCGGAACAAATGCAGCTACATGAGAAGCAGGTGAACTAGAAAGCTCGGCAGAAGCAACTCCTTGAACTCTTAACCGATAAACAAATCCTTTAGAAAAATCCCCAGTATTGAAAAACTGTAACTCATTAGTTGCCAAGCGAAATGCAGTAGCTTCATCAGAGCTGAACTGAATTGCAGGCCTGAACAACACACACAGTGACAAACATTAGCCATGGTGAAGATATTGGGATCTGTTTGGTTTCAGAAAACATTTTCGTTTCTCATTTCCAACAATAACTTCTAACTGTGGACAGGTAATAATTTTAAAAAATGAATAAATTGAAGTAGTCACGTGTCTGACACAAACACTCTTTTTTTCAGAGGTGTCAGTAGTTCATAAATGAATCACATGTCAATTGTGCATCATGATAAATTCAAATTAAGAATGTTGTCATTATTCAATACTACAACAATTCAACAAAACATACCAATTGACTCTTGTCATACTCTTCTGAGAGAGTTGATAAACAGAATCCCCCGTCTCCGTTTTCCACAACGTCACATTCTTCTCTTGCGGCGCAGGTTTTTGAAACGTTTGCAAAAAAGTTCCCCTCGGGGACAAACTAGCAGCAACAAGATTAGGAACTTGAAAAGACCTAATCTCTTGAGCACTCTTACAATCATAAATACTAACAATCGAATTAGATTTCACCACCATAAACGAAGATCCATCATCACTGAACTTCGCATTCAAGCAATTAACTTTATCAAGCTTGATATTAGGCTGACCGTTTGGGAACGGAGGTCCAGTCCATAGCGAGCATTCTTCCGGCCGCCGAACTGAAATCAAAGCAAAAAATAAAAAAATATGATGCAAAAACATAAGAATGAAATTAAAATCAGAAAGGTAGAATACCTAATATCTGAAGAGACGGTGAGTGGTGATCCAATGCCATTGCTGAGGTGAGAGTAACAAGATTATGATTTGAAATGTGATGTATACAAGTAGTGTATAATTTATAACCTAAAATGAACTAAAAATTGCATTTCATCATTAAATTGAATCAATTATCATGTTATTGTTTAAAGGATTGAAGGGAGAATATAATTAGATTGGTTAATTAAGCTATGAAGAATGTAAAAATTAATAAACGTGTAATGTTTAGGGAAAGTAGAAAAAAATGAATAACGCAACTTACTCGCTGTTTTTACAGTTCCTTTGTCACTCACTGCAACCCTCGACTTGAACTCAGCACTTGCAGCAGAACACAATTTCACTTCGCTTCGCATACTATGTTTCCATTTTATTTTATTTTATTATATCTGATTTTTACAATATTTCTTTTAATAAAACTGAAATATAGTTTTATCCAAAACAATAAGGAAATGTTGTTTCCTTCGTTAAGGTTGCGTCCCACATATGTGGAAATTTTAACTCTGCATCACAAGATATATCTCTAAATGTATTTAAAATTATATAAATTTTTGTAATTATTGAAAGTCAATTCATTTTAAACAAAATCTGGTCGGAGATTCATCTTCGTATAATATTTGAATATATTCGAAAATACATCTCTGAAATAACCTATGGTGTTTTTATTTATAATTTTGAACTTTTTCGAGGCCACCATATTTTAGGCGCCAACATATTTTAAGTCATTTTAGATGAGCATATTTTAGGTCAATTTAGATTATGAATTAGAAGGAAGCGTATACATTATTAATTCAAACATAATACACAATTATGAAAAAAAAATTGTACAATTATCAAAGCGTGCAGACAATATATAAGTAGTTTTGAAAATACAAAATAATACAACCAAACAAATATCCTATTGGGTCTATCTAACCTCTTGCATTCTCCTTCGTCTGTACTGCAAGACATTTCGTGCCTCGACAATCATGTCTTCTACGAGGGCTAACAAGGGGTCTGCCTTCCTCAAAAAGTCATGTCCCTATACTTGATCTTCTCATCTCCACAATACACCGACATACGACTGACACGTCCTCAATGTGGTCATCTCTAACCTTAAGCACCTATTGATTAGCTGACTTATGTGGTTTTCCATAAGCATTTGGTGTTATGATAGGGTATGACACCCTATAGAACCATATAATCTAGTTGTTTGCATATGTCTAATGTACACGAGCTAGTATCATGTGATACTTCTCTGATACTAAAAGACTCTCGAAATCGTCAAGTATCACATCGAGATCTTTGTGGCGGGCGCAAAGGCGACAACATATGGTCTGTAACGCTCCGATTTATTTAATTAATTTTTCGTAAATAATATTGTGTGATTGTGTGTGTTAATTGATGTTTTAAGGTGTTAGTAAAGTAGCAGTCTTAGAGAATAGAACTTAAGGTCTTGGAGGTGTGTAAGTAAAAGTTTAAAAACATAGGGGTGGTGGGAGAGTGTTATTTGTTACTATCGTTTAAATCGGACTATTTAAATAAGTAATAGTAATAGTAATAATTAAATATTTATTTTTTTAAGTACTATTATTATAATAATATGATAAAATAAATATTTATTTTTAATTAGTTGGAATGAGGTGGGATTAGAAATAATGAAATGATAAAATAATAAAAGAAGAGAAATAGAGGGGGAACAGTTAGTGCGTGAAAACAGAGGAAAAAGGAAGAGAAAGAGAAGAGAGAGCTAGAAAATTAAGGTAAGGGTGAAATTTCCTTTTGTATAAGGGTTTTGCACGATAACATGTGGGTGGGTGTTTGATTTCTCTTTGATTGAATTCCTTTTCTATGCTATGAATTGTGCAATTGTGTGATAATGTTGTTATGATGCGTGTTAGCATGATTTGTGTGTTGAGTGAATGTTGAGATGTTGGGTGTTGGTAGGAATTAGAGTGTGAAACTCAAATATATGATTTTTTATGAAAATTTGGGGGTTTGGGACTAGTTCAAAACTGATTTCCGTACCATAAAATAGCATAAAAGTGCTTTTGTCACAGTGGTAACGAGTTATCACTTTTGGTGTAACCGGTTACACCAGAGACAACTTTTATAAAAACTGATTTTTTTAAAGGTGTAACCGGATACTTGTTTTGGTGTAACTGATTACACTGTTCCTAAAAGGCGTAATATGAACAATTTTAAAGGGTGTAACTAGTTATTGGTTTCAGTGTAACTAGTTACACTGGGGATGTTTAGCCACTATTTTTAGCCAAGCTGTAACTAGTTACCTGTTTTGGTGTAATCGGTTACACTTGTTGCGTTAACTTAAAAAATTCATAATTTGAGTTTCGAGGGTTTGTTTGGGGTGTTGTTCGAAGCGTTGGAAAGCTGATGCAGTGACCTTTATGTTAAAAATAGTTTCAGTACCTGGAAATGATTTTAAACAGTGCGTAATAGTATTGGATGGTATGTGGTGTGTATGTTGCGATGTGGTATTGTGTGTGAATGGTGTGTTATTAGCAATTATGTTGTTGTAATACTATTGTTGAATGCTTGTAGTATATGGTTGGTATTTGGTGATTAGTTCTGGTGTAGTAGTTTGATTAAGGTGAATATCATTGTACATGTTGTTGTTTCATGTCATTTATGAATCATGCATCATGATGTTTGGACGGTGGTCCGCTTTTGGGTGAGCTTCAATCCTATAGTGGGGATTGAGTGCGAGTAGTTGATTCTAGGTGGGAATCAATGAAGCATTACCTATAGTGATAGTAATGATTTTTTGTGGACTCTGATCCTATGGTGGATATTGGGAGTGAGTGAACCTAAGAGTTCACAATTGGTACCACATGCATTGAGTCCTGGAGTTGAGTCTTATTGCATTGCATACTTGTTGTATTATGATATTTGGATTATGTGGATATGAGTTGTGGAATGGGTGATTATGTATGTGATCATGGTGTGCTTACATATTATTATTGTAATTTTATTATATGATTGTGATTTCTCACCCCTTTTGTTTGAATGTTTCTTTTACATGGGCATCATGCAGATAATTCGCAGTTGAGGCGTGAATGTGAGTTGAAAAGAGTACTTTTCTTTATGCTTTTGTTGAGTTGGCGTTTTCTATGATATGTAATATTGGGAAATAGAATGCTTGTGTATTTATTCTATATTTGGTGGAGATTTCATGTGAATCTCTTATGATTAATAATTTTTTTATAACAACATTAGGTTATAGTTCTGTTCTGATGAATTAAATTAATCGGTTGTTGATGTTTTTCTGCTGCTAAAATAATATTGAAGTCCATACTTGTTTTATAATTCTCAGTACTTTCAAATTCAATATGTGTTACATATCCAATTGCATGAGCCGATTTATGTTGAAAGTGGCATCCTAATTATTTATGGCTTTAATTTACTCTTATTTTAATTATAAATATGGCGGGGAAAACTAGGGTGCTATATAGTGGTATCATAGTAAGTCTGTCTGTCCGACCAAGTTGTCGAGTCGGTGTGGTGTAACAGTTGAATATTGTTGTGGTTATCTTCTAACCATTGTTGATGTCATTGTGGTGAAACAAAAAATGGCTAGAAGAAACGATGCTGCAATTGGTGCTGCTTTGCAGGCTATGGCTCAGGCTATGCAGAATCAGCCTAATGCTAGTGGGAATAATGAGTTCCGAAATCTGGGGAAGTTTCAAAGGAATAATCTGCCTACTTTTAGGGGTAGGTATGATCTTGATGGAGCGCATGCTTGGCTTAAAGAAATTGAAAGAATATTTCCTGTGATGGATTGTTTAGAAGCATAAAAGGTACAATTTGGTACAATATGTTGGCTTATGAGGCTGTGATTTGTTGGTTAACACTCGTCAGGTGTTGGAAACTGCAGGTGAAGATATCACTTGGGTTATGTTCTGCAGAGAATTTTTGAGAAAGTATTTTCCCGAAGACATTCGCGGGAAGAAGAAGATTGAATTCCTAGAGCTGAAACACGAAAGTTTGTTTGTTACTGAGTATGTTGCCAAGTTCGTGGAACCTACGAAGTTCTATCTTCATTACAGTGAGGCAACTGCTGAGTTCTTAAAGTGAGTTAAGTTTGAGAATTGTTCACGTCTTGAGATTAAACAGGCGATGGGCATCAACAGATACGAAGGTTTCTAGAATTGGTGAATAGCTGTAGGATCTACGAGGATGATAGTAAGGCTCGGTCAGATCACTATAAGAGTCTGAGCGAGAAGAAGGGGAAGCAACATCTGAACCGTGGAAAGCCTTATAGTGCTCCAGGTGGAAAGGGTAAACATAAGGTTGCTCATGGTAAAAGGCCAAGTGGGGGAGGTGCTCATGCTCCTCTTAAATGTTTCAGGTGTGGTAAAGACTGGACATCTGGTTGCTGATTACAAAAATAATATAGTGACTTGCTACAAATATGGTGAGCCAGAATATATTAGTACACATTTCCAAAAGCCGAAGCAAGCTCAATTTGGAAAGAAGGTGTTTGCTCTGTCGAGGACTCAGGCTTCCAGTGACGACAGATTAATAGTACTCATTTGGTTGCTATTATTGGTACTGGTGTTAGTCACTTGTTTATTGTTGCTGACTGTTTAAATAGGTTGGGCCTTGTAGTGTCCTCTATGAATAGAGAGATGGTTATTAATACTATTGCTAAGGGGTTGATGGTTACTTCTTTAGTTTGTTTGAATTGTCATCTATCAATCTTTGATAGAGATTCTGGTGTTGATATTATTTGCTTACCGCTGATGGATTTTTATGTTATCTTGGGAATGAACTGGTTGGAGTTCAATCACGTTCATATAAATTATTATAACAAATCTGTACGATTTCTTGCTCCTGATGAGGAAGAGGAAGTTGGTTTCTTATCTGCTAGGCAGTTGAATGAGCTTTTGCTATAGGAAGCTCAAGTGCTTATGTTGTTCGCGTATTTATCTGTTAAAAGTCAAGCTACAATTGAAGAATTTTCGGTAGTGCATGACTTTCCAGATGTGTTTCCAGATGATATTTGGGATGTGTCGCCAGAGAGAGGTAAAGTTCTCTATGATCTTTTCCCTAGTATCAGACCTGTTTCTAATGCACCATATAGGATGTCGGCGCTGGAGTTAGCAAAAATAAAAAAGAAATTGGAAGATTTACTGTAATTTTTTTTTAAAAACCAAGTTTGTCACCTCAGGGAGCTCCGGTGTTGTTAGTAAAGAAGAAAGATGGCAGCATGAGGTTGTGTGTGGATTACCGACAACTGAATTAAGTAACAATTAAGAACAAGTATCCACCTTTGAGAATAGATGATTTGATGGACCAACTGATAGGTGCGCGTGTTTTCAGCTAAATTGACTTAAGGTCGGGTTACCATCAAATT